CGCATTTCGTTACTCAATCCAGCCCCGCCGCAGCAGGTGCTATGCCTTTTGCGCCTGAGGCCTTCTTTGCACCGCCACCGCCACCTCCACCGCCAAATCCGCCACCACCAAACATGCCTCCCAGCATATCGAGCATGGGGTTGCCCTGCCGCGGTATCTTGATACCAAAGTACATTTCGCCAAGCTGATCTAGCGCTTCGTTCCAATTGACGTCCTTGAGATGTGTGGCATAGTGGCTCTTCAACTGCCTGAATAAACTCGGGTCGCCGCGTTCCACACTCCGCAACAAAAGGCCGATGAAGTTGAGCAATGGGAGGGTAGGGTATGTGCGCAGATCTGAAGCGGATGTGGATATCTGTTGTGTGTTGAGGCCCTGTTTCTTCGAGAGGAAGGCTGTGAAGAGGAGGAAGAACTTGTTAGCTGCACGTAGGTTGCCGGTGAGGAGGTAAGGTAGCACTCCTCGTGCGCAGTATAAGGGTGCGGTGTGCGAGTCGTCGGCTTCGTACCAGGAGTATTCAAGGGAGGCGAGGGCAGAGGGCGAGTCTTGGTTGCCGAGGAGGAGGTGGCGTTCTGCCTCGTAGGGCTCGAGGTCTGTTTGATAGTCAGGATGTGTTGGAAGGTGGTCTAGCAAGAGTAGGTATATCTCATACTGTCGGCGTATAAGCTACCGGCGACATGATGAATCTCAGGGTCGCCAGCAGGGTATTCCCCCAAATTTGCACTCCAGCCCACCATTTCACCCACAAACTTCTTCTTGGTTGGTTCATCCTTGGGGAATGCCCTCAGGAGACCCAACAGCTTCCCCTTGTTGCTCGCGTCTGGCTTCACCTCACCCTTGTTGAAGACATCTACGAGGAAGATGCAGAGGTCACCACCTGATCCGCCCTGTCCTGCTTGGAGAAGCGACTGTGCGCCAGAGTGAAGGATAGATGTGGCATTCTCCCAGTCTTGCGCCTTGACGTAGCGCGAGGCGATGACGCGTAGCTGTTGGTGGGCTTCGTAGAATTGGCCTTCAGCGATTCTGGAGGGTTTAGCCAAGGTCTGATCGCCAGCTTCTAGGAGGGCTGTGTTACTTCTGCTGCTGTCGCTGTATTGTCTTTTCTAACTTTGTGGCCATTTTAGGACGTCACGTTTCACGGCAAAGTATTATATGGTGTGGTTCTACACTTGGAGCTCAAGCCGTGAAATGTAATGACGCACAGACGGGCTTAGTGGGGTCGCCCCCCATCTCACTTGAGTCGACCAGCCGCACACTTCAACCACACTGTCGGCTTTCTTTCTTTCTTCCCTCCACTCTGGGTCGATCTCGTTTCCATATACCTTGCTATTTTGTTCAGCGTTTGCCTCAATTCAACGGCCTTGTACTGTCCGTATGACTGCATATCTAGTTTCACATACACACATGACCTTCTGCTGTGAAAATCAATTCTTTGTCCATTTTTCGGTCAGCCCGGATAAATCACAGTGTTGGTCAGCCCTCAGCAGCCCAATTCTGGACATCTACTCTGCTAATTTACCGAGCATGTCCCGCAAGGACGTGCAGCTTATCGTACAATATCTCAGCAATAGAGATAGTTGCTACTCTAAGATTTTATTTCTAGATAATAAAGCATTATATCTATTTTAGATTAAGTTATTATAGAGCGAGACCTTCTTAATAATCTATAGTATAGTAAAAAGAGTATTCAAGTTTAGAAATTTAGGCAAACTAAAAGATTTTAGCGTATATCTACGTTTACGCACCTTACTTTTCTCTTACTTTGAGTTTTCTATACTATTAAGAACTTTATACTCTAGAAGATTTTAATATAAGTTAGTTTAAGTAATTTTTTATATTATGTTAGATTTTTAGAGGAGGAGGTTCTTTAATTATTGAGAAATTAAACTGCAAAGATAGGCAGTTTTTGGTGAGGCATCACCAAAGCTGCGCGTTTTTCCCACTTTTCGAGTTAACCGAGAGCATGTATAAGGCAACGGTACGGCCCGTATCACCTCCATGAACTCCAAAGCTTCACGCTAATTCCCGTGGGCCGCGAGGGAAACGAGATGCGATAATGAATATGCTACATTCCAGGGTCTGTATAACACCATACTCGGGGTCGCACTAAATTAATGAGCCAAGTCGGTTGGTGACTTCTATGTTTGGGACGATCTCACAAGTGCTAACCGTGATACATGGGTTAATCTCACCCTGCTCGTACCGAATCGCCGGGATGGGACAAGGTACAAAGAGGAACAACACGTTATTGGCTAAATCCATGCAAAAAAATATTGACGCCTATCTAGACTTCTCCAGTTCCTTCAGAATAAGCTAGGTGGTCAGGTCAGGTCCAGGAAAGCTGTACCGTGCTTCTATAACAAGAGCACACACACCAAGAGAATGTGTTCTTAATGAGTCTCGGAGACCGATGAGCCAAGTAGATAAGAAGAGACACAAGTAAGCATAAATTGGCTTTAGACTGGCTCGGCCACTCAATGGTTTTGGCTCAGCAAGATTTTCATCACCTGTTTTCATAATGCTTGAGCTTGAAGATCGTTTCGTGAAGACGGGGTATGACCGACACATATTGACAGTGTCACTATGCTAACCCTTGCAGATTCTGGATTAATCGAGAGAATGGCTACGTGATGGGCCAGACACTGACTGTCAAAGAAAGGACGGGCACAGTTATTGTAGCTCTACTCACTATCCTCACTACAGCTGGCACCGCTCAGCTGTGGAACTTGTTCACATTCCTCTACCATCAATATTGCGCAGATGGAAAAGATGGGGACGGACTCCGTTGGCAATACCAAGCACTACTCCGAACAGTGCCTTCTCCTACGGCACTTATGGCAGAAACTCTCAAGCTACTATGGATATGGAACGCTAGAGTGCCTCGTGTGCTCCTCCGCTGCTCATTCATTTTTCTCGTTGCGCTTTGCTTCGCCGTCGCATCAATTGCGACTGGTATATCAACAGCATTCGCGGTAGATAGCTCCAATATTGAGGTCTTAGTCAATAGCCCCTTCTGTGGAAGGTTCAACTATACAAAGGTGTACGAAAACCGAAGTCAATCTACTCTCCTGGCCTCTCTTGACTCTGCGGTCGACGCTTACAGCTCAAACTGCTATCAGAATAAAACCACCCCACCCGCGTCATGTCGCAATACTTTCAGTATACCCAAGATCTCATTCAGCGCATTGCCTGCCCCATGCCCTTGGAATAGCACAATGTGCCACAGCGGCAAAATTCCGGCACTGGTCATGGACTCTGGACTTCTGGACATGAGGACTCACTTTGGCCTAAACTTGTCACCGGCGGAAACAGTTAAACTGCAAAAGAGAACAACTTGCAGTGTTCTACTTTTAAATAACCGCATCATTATACGGGATGCTCAATGGTGGGACGCTCGTGGGTTTAATGACTCTAAAACTACCATTGAAATTGGCACTTATCGAGACACGGCTCCTATACTTCGTCCCGAAGCTACATTCCTTCAATCTACCGCACTAACTGAGCGCCAACAATCCTACGGCTCAAACAGTATAGGTAGCTACTTGGAAAGAGATAAATCTTATCTTGGAATCGACACCATTCCGGAAATGCGACGAGATGATGCCGATGTGAAACTCGCAGCCATCTGGCTCAACAACGTGGTTTATACAACGCCAGTCAACGATCCTTTGTTCCAGCACATGCAAAGTGGCTGTATATTCCTGGTGGGGGGTACCCAAACTATACATACTACCACTCCGACAACGCGGCAGGTGTTGTTGGATGCGCAGAACAAGTATGAAAAGTCTCTAAGACATATTTATGGTTTCCAACTAATTCCTCTACAGTATATGTATTGTATTCCACAGCCTGGAAAGTCAGACTACTGCACTTCTCTAACCGGAAGCCCGCTAAATGAGTTCACTGAGACAATACCAAATCTCAAGCCTGTGCAACGGCGCCTATTACAGCTTCTCCGCTCTACATCCCGACTCTTTGGTATTGAACACGGTGCGCAATGGAAAAATATATTAGCCAGCAGTTTCGTCAATGGACGATCATCATCAGGACTGCCAGATAACCAATGGATAAAAGAGATCATCGCATGGGAATCACAGGTGTGGGCCAGCTATCAAACTCTACTCTCAACAGCCATCATCGGGCCATCCGTCTTCGACGAGTTTTCCAAAGAATACACCGAACCCGTCGCCGACGAAGGCGATCGAAAAATGTGCCAATCACTAAAGATGCGAAAAGCTGGTGGCTTCACGTACGCTCCCATCCCCAACCCTATTAAACTAAACACCACCTAATAATCCCCAGTAACATCAACGTCTTTGCCCTCATCTTCACCATCTGTTTCTCCCTCATCATCACAATATCCAACTCCCTCATCCTCCGCTTCTTCGTCTTCATGACCCGCTTCCGCGCCGCGCTCGCACCCCGCATCGACCACTGGGTCCAAGACGGCGTGTACCAGCTCCAGCGCCGCGCCTTCGAAGCCCAAGACCAGGGCCACTGGCTCAATCTCGAGCAAGAAATCCCCGTGACCGTTGAACGCCAGCTACTCCACCAACTCCCCGTCGACTCATCGCTTGCGCTGAAGGCGGCAGATCGGCAGATCGCGAAGAGGATGCGGGTTGGGAAGGGCGGCGCGTGCGTTTCCGAGATGGTGGTGGAGGACGAGGAGGAGTTTGGGGTTGAGAGTGTTGTGAGGCGACAGACTGCTGGGACGGATAATTTGACGCTTGTTGGGGTGGATGTGGAGAAGAGTGAATTCAAAAAGAGTAGGAGCTTTGATGAAAAGGGGAAGGAGAAATAGTGGGATGTTTGCTTTAGAGCTTTCTTTTATAACGAATTATGAGATATGGAATGTTTTGATGTTGGAGCTTGTGTCATCCTGATTCTATGCTGTGATTTAGGCACTGTGTGCTGGAAATCTCGTACACCAACTCTCCCAAAACCAAAGTATCTTCTCATAGGCAAAAATATTAGTCGTAAGAAGCAAAAAGGTGGTTTAAAGTGCGTCCACCGAGACTCGAACTCGGACCACGAGCATAAGCTTGCTTGGTAACATGGGAAGCTCGTATTCTACCCCTAAACTATGAACGCGTGGAATGCAAAAATAGGAAAAATCAAAATAAATATACAAGGTTGATAGTAAAGTTACTTATCTTGTCTGATGTAGGATGTGCTTACGGGCAGATAGGTGCAATGTGGTGGGGTGTGACGTTCAAGGATGTTAGTTTGCCCCTCATTTATTCGGATACGAAGTGCCGAGCGGGAGTTACTTTATAGATGTGGCATAAGCTGGGCAAATACTTTTGGATTCGCTAGGAGGTCTACATTGTCATTAAGAGCGAATAACACAAGAAGAGCTGAGGTCGACAGTTGGTTGGTTGATTAGATTTGATTATCGTTGGGGAACGAGCTCAGGAGTCAAGGGCTCTCATGTGGTTCCTACCTAGCTTACCTACCCATCACACAACAACATACATACAATGCAATCAAAAGACTACATTTACTTTTAAATACTCCTATTCATTTCTAAATCATCGATCACAAGAGTACACCTCTTCATTCTCAAAAAAGCCGCACCCCAACGCCCCCAAGACATCATACGCGCTATCTAAAAGTTTTAAAGCTACTTTAAAAAACGCACAAGACCAAAAAAGGGTATCTATCAGACAAATGGATATATTCACGACATGCCTGGGAAGCATCAGTCGCGAGGTATACCTGAAGCTAAACAATAGGTGGTAATAATAAGTGTTTGAGTTGAGTAGGGTATTACATTACAATGCACTTTTCGCGATTCTCAGGCTGAGGTTGTCCGTGGCCGATGGGTCCTGTACTCTGCCTCCCTGGATGTCCGGGCATTGGTCGTCCAGTTGGTCGCCGTGGCGGTAGATTGCCGCCGTTCGCCTGATATGCGCTTCCTTGTTGCGGGAAGGGGGCGTGAGAGCTTGCAGGGTGGCCTTGTGGGGGATGGTACTGGGGCCGAGTCGCAGCCTCTTCATATGTAGGAGGCGGCGCAGGCTCAACGTTTGGCTGGTGCGTTGTGATATTGTTGCGGCGTGGTGGAATCACAGGGGGTTGGTCGTTACGAGAGGGATGGCGATTGGGGAGGTGGGCTTGGGATTGCGCTGATAACGCAGTCCCAGAAGCTTGGCTGTCTCGCTGGCGTTGAGCAATCTCGCGCCTCTCTCGGTCTTCTTCCTCTTCTTGAAGCTGAAGCGCCAAAGCTAGGTCGTGGTCTTCTTGCTCAGCCCTGCTTAATTCATGTGGCGCAGAGCCTCCAGGAGCTTGGGCAGTATTTTGTGCTGAGGCATGATGCTGATCCCCACCACGAGACTGTGCAGCAGCCCAACCTTGGTTGCCACCAATGTCAAGCATACTTTGGACTTGCTGGTGCTGCTGAGGCGGCAAACTGTTGCCAACAGGGCGGAAGTCACCTGAGAAGAGCTCACTTCCCTGACCATTTACGTCAACAAGAGACTCCCACACGATTTCATCGTGACCAGAATAACCTTGGTCTGTCACTAGAGTGAGAAGCTTATTAGTACGCGGATCCTTGAACAATGTAGAGAAGTGATCGTTTCTGAAGAGAATAGCGACTTGACCGGGCTCAATGCTATCTCTCATAACCTTCAAGCCATGACCTGTCAATTGAGTGGGCCATGTGCTGAGAAACTCCTTAATCGCATGGATGTCGGTAAACATTTGCTGCTCGTCCGTAGTCAGGGCTTCACTAGACTGCAACTTCGCGTCGAGCTCCTCTTCCTGAAACTGGACATACTGTGAGGTTTCGTATGACTTGGCCACTCGGTTGAAGGCGGCGTAAGCCTCGGAGCTCGCTTCTGGCAGCCATCCGTGGAGCAGAGGAATGTTGAAGGTGCGGTACAGCTTCATGTCCTTGGTATTTTCGAACCCTCCCGCTCTACCGACGGGGCGATTGGTAAGAGCAGTGTTGCCATTTGTCGTATCTGTGTCAGGAACGAACATTGGGTTGACATTGAGCCCGGTGTGAAGAGCTAGCAGAAACTTGTACAAATCGCTAACATCAGGTAACTCTTGCGCTGCAGTGCCTCGCCTGCCAGACATGAGCTCATCGAAGACCGCATCAAGCAACAAACCGAGACTAACTTGCTCTCGTGTTCGCAGTGTTTCGACAAGCGCAGTCTCAATACCCGAGGGTGTTGAGAGAATGAGTGCATTAACAAGGGCGAGCAGTGGACAAGGCCCATTCAGATTCTGCGTTAGGATGGGCGAAGTACGAATACCAGGCTTATTGACGTCATGCCACCGGATGTGCTTGATCTGATAGTGCTCCTTCCGCTGCCTATTCATTGTTGTGTTTGGTGACTCTGGGCCAGTGGTCGTGACAGAGCCAAGATTAGTGTCAATTGACTGCGGAGGCATAGGAGGACCGACATCTTCGCGTAATGCTCGTGGTGGAAGTTTTGGCAGCTGTTCCCCAGTGGATGCTACAGGCGGTGGTGGAGGGAGGCCGTCAGGTGGCGCTGGGAAGAATGGATTTGTTGAAGGCGCAGCCTGTTCAAGACGGTGATAGTCTTCTTCATGCTTTCGCTCCTGTTCTGCTCGTACTGCCGCTTCATGGGCAACTGAGGCTTCTTGCTGCCTGCGCTGCCGCTCACTCCGCTCCCAGTCTTGTTGCTCTTGCCATGTTCGAGGAACTTTTGCATGGTGGCTGTCTTCAGGCAGACCATGAGCTCTGGAGGCGACATCAAGCGTGGACACGTCCATGCCAGGCTCCCAGGGATTTGAGTCGATTCTATTGCGCATGTGCTGATTCGACTGTGGGCTGTTCAATGGAGTGGCTGCATCCACAGCAATAAGGGGCGGCTGATCCAGTGACTTTGATCTGTTGACGTTGAGACTAGCCAGGTCGTGAGTAGGTGCAATGGGTGTCTGGGAGGCAGGGAGCTCGACAGGGTCATCGTATTTGTGGGCATAGCTTGGTGTATCGCCCCATATTTGCTGGCTGGTCTCTCCAGCCCAGTGACTCTGCCCTGTTTGCTGGGCCTTGAGAAATGGATTGTTGGTTTGGAATGGAATTGATGAGCTGGATTGTTCGGAAACCGTGCTTTTGGCCCCATACGATGTAGCGCTGGCCCCGGTAGGCATTGGTGAGATGTTGTCAATCGACCGCTTGACGGGGATTCCAGCAGGTGGTCCTGGCCTCAACGCATCTGGCAGGGCATGACTGGTGGCTGGCGCCTTCCCTCCGCCAGGCTTCAATGCGTCAGGTACGTCCTTGGCGGTGACTTCCTCAAAGTCTTCATCATCTGACCTGCCCCACTCATCCTCGCTGGAGTCGAAATCGACATCTTGCTTGTTATACTGCTCCTTCTTCGCTTCATCAAGCGTTTTAAAGTTGAAGGCCGGCGACTTGTTTAGATTCGGCGAGTATAGAGGAGCATGGGCGGACGAGGAAGGCACTGCAGGTGGGTGCTCGTCTAAGGGACTTGTGGGATAGGGAGGGTTCGCTTTAGAGAGGGGTGCCGGTACCAGACCTGCATTCGTATCGGGGTTCTCCTCTTTCCGAAGCACCATAGTGACAGGTGGTAGTGTGGTTGTGGTGTGGCGCCGGAGGGGATCACTCGAGTATGATGGCAACTAGGTTACAGATATTGCGATGCTGTGTTCGGGTGGGAACGAGGATAGGGATGAAATGCAGGGTGAGGTGAGAAAGAGGTAAGACGAGCTTATGCAGCGTAAGACGGCAAAGTACGCGGCCACAATAGATTGTAGAGCTCAATCGCAAGGCAGGGAACAAGTACGATGACGACGCTGGTGGGCTGCACAGCCACACTAGGTATGTGGCGGGAACTCTGATCCCAGCTCGTGTGGGGAATGCTTCCGAAAAATTGGAAGCCTCGACCAATCCTGGCTGCACGTTACTTTTTACTTTCACATCAACCGTCACATGTACATGTCACGGTGATAATACATAGAAGGTACAGAACATTTCACGCAATGTATTCGTGTATTCGTCCCAATACACATGTGGCGTTGCGACTGCCCTCTGGTCTCTCCAAAATCTTAGAAATCATCCCGAATACGTACGTAGGTCGCATAATAACTGGAGTGAGACCTCCATGCGCCCTACTTCGCGACTCACCCACCACTAACAATTTTACAGGAGCATAAATCTAGGTAAATTTGGAACCTTCAACTCCAATCTTCTTATCGGACGGCCGTACTACCTTACCTACGAACTTCTCGACTGCGACGATGGCAGATCAAAGACAGAACTGCGCGTCGTGCCTGCCTCAGAGCTCCACGCCGAAGTACTGGGGAGCGACCAGGCACTAGTTGCTGAAGCGAGCGATGAAAATGCCGAGGCCGGCACAGGCTTCGATATCGTGAGCGACGATGGCCAAGTGATCATGCGAAACAATCGCCTGACCATCGACGATGCATCACGGCAGAGGCTGTCCATGGACGAGATTGAAGAACTCAAAAAGGCCGGCTCAGGCTCAGGAAAAGATATCATAGCCAAGATCATGGCGTCACATAACGCAATTGACGAGAAGACATCCTTCTCGCTGGCGAAATATACATTGAGAAAGTCGCGCAAGTACCTCAAGCGCTTCACGGCACTACCAATGGACGTTGGAGTGCTCACAGAGTATGTGCTGGAGAAAGAGGCGTACAAGATCATGGAACTGAGGGAAGATTTGCTGGGTCTTATTTGCAGCTGGGCGAATATACACTGTGGCGAAACAAGTCGCGTCCAAACCGCAGAAGATGGAGTCAGCCAAGTTGGGGGGGGAAGGTGGTTAGTCGTTGACGATACAGGAGGCTTAGTCACAGCTGCACTTGCCGAGAGAATGGGCATACTGTATCCTGCCGAGGACGATGATGACTTGGACGAGGTAGAAGAGCCAACACAAGAAGGCGAAACAACGTTAAGCAAGCAGCAAAATGGTACAACAGAAAACGCTCAAAACAATGACCAGAACGAGATGGACATCGTCATGCCAGACGCCGATGCAGATACCACCGCCTCAGAACACACATCACAACCCCGGAGAACACCGCGTCCCCATATCCCACAAATGTCCGCGCGAACTAACACTCTAACT